GAGATTAATGAGAGTTCGTGTTAAGTTTGTCTGGCCCCTATAGCTAATCTATAGTAGAACAGCAGTATGTAGCGTGATACATGTTACATATCGTATACACGTGGAACAATTTGAAGAACCGTTCTCTCCATTCTGATTTAAATGATTTACCGACGTAATCTTCGATTCTCTGAAAGAAAAAAAAATAATTGCTGGAAATGATTATTAGTCTTACAATTTTAGAAGGAGGTCCTTGATTAAAAAAATTGACTTATCCTAAAAAAATGAATGCAAAGAGACAGTCCTAATAAAACATGCAAATAAATCTTTGGGCGAAAGATAAATCTTTATTTCAAATATTGTAATTGTTTCTTAGAATTTGGAATTATATAATCCAAAACACGCGAGTGTTTAATCACACCCACGATTTGACGACGATGATAATTTATGGGTTGAATTCTACTCTCATGGTGTACCGGATCACCTTGGGCTGCCCTCTATCGACTATTCCGGCCTCGGAGTGCATACTGTGAGAATGTGCCGTCGCGGCGTCACTCGCCTTAAGCTATAGGCGTCCGACTGCAGCCAAGTGCATTGCTCCTTGCAGTATCGGGACGACTGCACCCTCCCGTTGGCTCGTGTAAAACAGCCACCGCGATGCACTGAATCCTTCATGCACTGTTGCATCTGCATGAAGGATGACTTACGAGTCGATCTGTCATCATTGAATTGCATAATTAGCTCATAATTATTATCCACAATTAATGGACATTGTTACAATTGCATATACACATAGTAGACTTCTCCAATTACATCTGATCCTTCTAATCGTCCTATGGCTGAACCACTCAGTTCGAGTTTCGATGAATCGAAAATCTTTGTTCACTTTTCTTGCGTATTTCTTCGGAGTTACAAAGTAAAAGTTAGTACAAAAAATAAAAAATAAAAAATAAAAAAATAAAAAAACAAGCAAGAAAAACCGAAAGGAACGAGTTAGGATTAAGTTTCTCACAATGCACTTCAGAATCGAATAGCAATCGTTGTAAGTAAAGCAGGATGGAAGAACTTTATGTCACTCGGGTCATTCTTTGAACGATGTTTAACACGTATTACGGAAACTCGATAAGTAGCAGATTATACGGTAAGACCCAAGACTCACAACGAGGCGCTCATTTGAGCCATTGACCTGAATTCACCTCCAAGCTGGCTTCTTCTCGCTCAAGAGAAGTTAAGACGAACAGGAATACAAGATCTTAACCGCAAACTGGCATTACCATTACCAGCTTATCCGACACCTTATTATTACTCGCAATCTGTTACTCGCGAGCAGCCTCCACTGGCTCCTAGTAACTCCGAGTGAATTTATTTCGGAGTATGTACAAATTCATCCCCCGTGCTCTCCCAACGTGAAATCGATTAGGACCACCGTGCGGAGTACGTTGGCCCTGCTCTCTTTTATTGTGTTGTAATCTATTCTGATCTATTCTTATCTTTTCTACTCACTTCCATTCTTTTCCTATTCCGCTTTAGGCCAGTGCCGATGATCACTGTTACTCACGCAACGGTAGTAATTAATTATCTTAAGGAGCGTTCACGATGTAGCTAGCGGTAGAAAAGGCTAAAATTCATTAATTATATATATATAGAAAGATTGCCAAAGATCCTAATACTACTTTTCTGGTACTTTTTTGATACTTACGCTCGAAGGTTCTCTTGCTTGATTTAATTTTCTTGAAAATTTGAACTTGCGCAGTTTCCTTCGTCAAGAATTCATTTCACCTACCTCGGTCACGTATTTTGGTTATTTCTATTCAAAATTCGTAACCCGAGATCCTTTTATGGTAATACGATAGTCTACTATTTCCATTTCCTATTCACCTGCTTGATAACCACTACTAGTTGCCGGCATTGCCGTCACGGTATTACCTTACGTGTTTCATTTGATGATCCTGCAGATTGTATATCTATACAAATCCAGTGACAATGTCCTGGACATTTACTAGTCCTATCTGACTGCGCACCAAAAGTCCTTTCGAAGCTTAACTTTCAGACGTTTCGAAACTTCACCACGTATTTATTTCATGCTTGCGTTCCCTTTTTATTCCATTCTGTTTCCATTTTTTTCCGGCAGCTAATGGATGCCTACTAGTCGATGTTGGGGGGTTTACTTTACCCATCTATCAAGGTATCTAACCTATAGTCTACCCGGGTAGCTACATAGCTAGTAGAGATAGGAGAGGTAGGTACGTAGGTTGGTAGGTAGGTAGGTAGAGTTAGTCAAGGCTTGCTTGACTACTCTTAGTTAACGTGGTCTTGTACCTAGAATTTTCTAAGCTTATCCTTATTCCATTCTCACTGAGTTACAGTACAGTTAAGTAGCTGCCGTTGCTGCTTTTGCCTTCGACTTTTGAAGCTTCTTTATTTGTTATTCGTTTTCTACCTTTCTACCTTTCTACCTTATCCCGTACCTTCTTGCGGAGGAGGTTAATAATATCCTATCAAGTAACCCGGTTACCGATACTTAGTAATGGCTAACGATGGATCTATCGACGATGATCTATTCACGTCAGCCAAGCGCGGCGAGTCTCATGTAAAATGAAAGCGTAATCGATTCCCGATTTATTGCCATTGCTCGCTATTGCAACGTTGATAACAGGAAGAAACAATTCGATAATAGCCGCCTCGCAGCAATGCATACGCAATACAATACTGATATAGATATATCGTACTTTCGTAAATTACGTGCAATTTCATTTATTGGATGAAATTGAAATGCTTGTTACTGAAATCAATTGTTGATATTGGATTGAAGAATGTATCGATGCAGAGTTATGAAATTTTTGTAGGACTATAAGTGATTATTTTGTACGCTGTTATTGGGTCAATATTGCCGTTGGCATCATTGAGTAGGATTTACGTTATTTCTCGATGATTTTATTCTCGCGTGGTATATGAGTAAGATATTAATGCCGTGAAGTTAAATTAGAGCGATAAAATGCTGGATTTCTTACCGTTAACATCGATCCGTGCTTCTATGACTGACGAGCATGAAAATTTGCATTACTGTTACTCCATTACATTGAGTTTACAGCTGCCGTGTTATTATTGCAATCTTCAGTGTACGTTCTCATTGATTGCGGGTAAGAGGGATCCCACGTTACTATTCACTACTTTGCCATTACGTTCAGATGCGCTGTTTACTATTAGTCGGCCTGAATGCAGCCACCTTTCGATATTCTATGATTACGTTACGACTGACGGCCGGTACTATCGAAGCCTTCGTAATCTTTATACGTATAAGTGTGCTTTACCATAAACTTCACTGATCGCGGATGTTGGATATTAAGGTTGACTGCCATCTTTGCGGCTGGATCGCGTGCCCGGAAATCGTTTAGATTTACCTTGCATTCTTCTAATACGAATGTTGTCATGGGATTTTCAGTAGGCGATTTAATGCATTTCAATATATAGCGATTTAGCGTTATACAACAATATACATATCATTGTACAGCAATGATATTCATGCGAATGTTAACAACGGGATTAGAACACGTGCGTCGGTCGTTGCCACTGACTCGTCTAATATTACGTTATTACGGGCTTCTTGAGTCACTGCTGTTGGAAATTGTTTATACGGCCCGTATAACCGGGTACCCAAACATTCTACTAGGTATATGTAAATGTATAGTACCTTACAAAGTATACACGACACATTCATGTTAGAGCTAAGAAACTGAAAGCGGAATGAAATTTCTAAAATCGTCGGATATCCTGCTTTTGTCGTCTTTTCTGCTCTCGTACAATGATCCCACGTCACTCACTGATTCGACACGCGTACTGCGTCGTACACGTATAATACACGAAACTACGTATACGCGCGTCACAGTGTTAATAGTGCATATATGTTCTTTATGTGGATATACGTTGATGCTGGCGCATTGCCACGTGGCCGGATGAATGTCTCGTAGCCGGTGAACGTGCCTTTGACATTATTCAACGTGAAAGCAAATACGTTACCACGTGGTGAACCTTGCTGTACTTATACGTTGTTTCATATATAGAACGTATTGGTCCCGTAAAATATAATTTCATAGCTGATTTCATTTCTGATTATGTCAATGAGGTTTTACGAGAAGGCTTGTGATAATAAGATAATAACAGTCACTGACCGACCGATAGAATCATTGTTCGGAATGACGCTGATTCGCTTGATTCACGCCTCGTCTCTTCGTCCGACCGGAAGTTTCGGTGCACTTGAGTCGAATTAGGATTTATTGATGTGAAGAACCTATCCCATCGTATGGTTAGCCCAGGACGCTCAGGACGCTCAGAACGCTTAGGACTCTGTTCTTTCTCCCTTGCCTGGTCTTTCCGTTTTCTTTTTCCGTTCGAATAATATACGTCACGCATCTACATACGCGTTACGCGTAAAACTGGTTGCGTGCTTTCCCACGGCCTCGTGCTGCGGCGCGTGCCGCGCATAACGAACCCGGCCTTTTCTTTTTTCTCTCCAGTCTCCCGACTCGACGATGCACTCGTAGTTTGCGGTTCAAAATGCACATGCAACGAGGGTAACGACGTTTTATTTTCTGAAGGAGAAATCAACCCTCTCGTTCATATCTTTATATTGGATGCACTGTACTGCGATTATCCGCATATACGTCGATTACGTGCTCTCCCTATTGTAATATAGGAGTCTATGTAATTTTTGCACTCTGAATAATTGCATCCGCGATTATTCCGACCGCATGGCACGGTGCATCGATGTGTCCCGATCAACTGGAAGATTGCGGGTGTTATCGATAGCAGTGATTATTGATTGTTCTTAAGTATAAAGAAAGTTACACGGGTAATTTATTAACCGCGAGAATTCTATCAACTGATATGATTTTCTAACGTCCTATTGATTTATGTCAGAGTCGTTACTCGGCGAATGCAATACATTTTTTGTCCAACTAAATAGATAATTAAATATCGGCTATCGCTGCGATATACTCTATGCTTGTGATTATCCATTCTAGGTACTGCAAAGAGATATCGAGGCTCACGGTAGGATAGTGAGCTCGGTGGTGAAGCTGAGCGAGAAAGTGGCTTTGGCTGTGCAACAGCAGCAAGAAGATCAACAGCAGCAAATACAGCAGCAGCAGCAGCAACAACAACAGCAACATGCACTAAGAGTAGCCAGTTCGTTAGAACGTCGCTGGCACCTCTTGTTTCTACGTGCATTAGAGTGGCAATGTCACATAGAAACGCTTGCATCTCGTCTGTCCAGCAAGGTATTACATTCTTTTTTATCATCAAATTTACTCGCCTTCTGCTACTTCTTCGTTCAATGTCTATCTAGCAGGATTCCTGCAAAGTAATTCGACTCTCATAGTGCAAGATAAGAAAAAAGCTTTGATCAAGTATCAAATAACATACACAGTCTCAAGTAACGGATTAGTAAAATTCCTTTCGCTACAACAAGGACACCCTATACATATAATATATCGATTTTTACCTACGCGAATTAAATTCTTGTACACAGGGATGTAGGGAAATTTAAGAAACGCCGTAATTAATGCAATTATCACTTATGAGTACAACGCAACCTTTTTACTCGCGGTATATCGTTATCGTCAAGGAGCATCGATTCAATTTCACTGGTTCTTTGCAATCGGATAATATCCTTCGCAGTTACAAGAATAGGATTTGTTGGTAAATCAATTTCGCAGCTGATCTCAAAAGACTTGTAGATCCTCATGCGCGATCTTCATGATCTTATCTTAGATCGTGATCCTGTTACCGATATTAGTATATCCCTATCCTATCCTATATCACTATGGTATTAGCATTATTATCATGCTGGTTCTCTAGGTGAAGAATATACACGAGGGATCGGTATTGCTCTCATGCATAAAATACACGTATATCTTACCGTATACATTCACAAAATTGTTGATACTTGTTCCTAGAGCAGCTGGCAGGCCTGGCTGAATAATAGAACACGATTTCTATGTAAGATTTATAATTATCTCGCGTGTTTAGCTTGTACTGATATAACAAATTATTGATAGAAAATCTACATAGATTTTTTTTTTGGTTTAACAAGTAAAACTATTACTTGCTCTTTTTTAACGTTATTAATAATAATAACGCATAGAATGTTGAAGTTTTTAAATAAAGGATGCTTGGAACTAAAAGTTTCATAAGGACAAATGAGGCGGCACCAGACACCTTTAATCGATCGATTAAATTAATAGGGACGATTTTCTCGGCTGCGCTAATGCCGCGCACGCCTACAGGGCTTTTCAGTATCACCATTGTTCTCACAATGGGGTTTTGTTTTATGTTCGTTATACAGCACCTGGCCGTTCTCACCCACTCCCTGGTAACCAGTAACAAGTAACCCAACCAACGCACGAGACTGTTTATTGTACACGCACCTTATTACTGCTTTTTATGTAATATGAATTATTTGGCATTTTAGGTATACGTAGAATGCACCGACCTGTAGTTGCATAGTCATTCGCGCATACATGTGAGAATTCTTTGTTTTTTTTTTTTTTTACCTAACACTACCTGTGCACCATATTTATAGTGTCTACCTGATTATCGCGCGCATATCATTAGTTTTAATTGAGTGCCTCATAAAGTCTTCGTTCGCTATATGGATAGACATTTGCACTGTGCACTTTGTTACGAAGTTACGATGCACTTTGTTCCTATTGTAATTTTCACTCGAGGAAAATGCCGATTGAATTAACCGGACGGTGTGCAATTAATTCGTGCGTACGGAAACGACTTTAAGCGAGTCTAGTTATTATCTATGGAACATCGTTGAACACGTGGGAAGTATTTGTGCACTATTGTGGATCTATGATAGCAACATACGCCGCGCCTTATGCGATGCGGAAGAGACACGACTGCCTACTATTATTGATTCGAATCTGTTAGGGGGGTGGGTATTTTTTTGGAGGGTTGTAGACTTTCATACTGGAGTGTTAATAACATTTACATGGTTATCGGATCGAACGGATTATGAGTATAGTGTTTCCATGGGGTTCTCTATGGTTAGTAGTATGACAATTGATATGTGGCACATGTGGAAATGTACATAGTCATTTCTATTGGGGTCGTGTGGGAATTGATAATTGCGAGCAGGGATTACTTGAACTTTTTATCATAATTATAATTTTAAGTTTGTTCTGCCACGGGTGGGAATATAATCGTGAACAAAGATGACGGATGTCTTTGAATATATTTAAAAACGTGGAATCCGGTTTTTCATCATTTTTTTTTTTTTTCATTAAATCCCTTTTTTATTCTAATTTTCTGATTTTCATCTCTTCTTCCGCTTGCGCTTCTCTCCTCACTTTCATTTTCTTTCCACCCTTCCAAGGATTTGCAAGGAACGTTTCATGACTCTTGGCCAATTGACATTTGCGCGAAATATCCCGTCGCTGATCTCTCTTAGTGATTCGCAATGCGATTCGTTCGACTGGCAAAATTTCGCAAGAAACAGGCAAGAAACAGTCTCCCTTATTGATTTCTTAAGCTAATTCTCCATTTTCTAGAGGATCAATTTGCTGTTATGAACTGTACCGGAATTACACGATCTCGTACGATCAGTGGATTATTTCCCAGCTGTAGTATTGCTTTGCAGTAATTAAAAAATTCAATTAAATAAAACAAGCCAGTGGATAGTTCAAACCGACTGTAAGTTCGATCAATGAACTTTGAACTCAAAAAGAATATAGTCCATATTCGGCATGTCACCGTGTAAGCAATTATGTATAACTCTAACACGTGTAATCCCATTCGTTTTAATACGTGATACACCTAACGTAACGTCTTGTCAGCCTAAAGTCGCAAAGTCACAAAATCATAAAGTCACAAGGCGGAATATACAAAGAGGTCTGTCATACGACAATCGAGGCCTCCAGGTACCAATTCTTATTATTCGTTCACAATCGATCAGCTCGTATCGACTCGATTGAATCGAAACTGTGCTATGGTTAAAAGATAATCGTTCAATGTGTATTCCCTCCGGCAATTTTGTTGCAGCTGATTAGAAACGCGCCGTTTCCTTTTCATCTTTTTATTTCATTTTCTCTATTCAACATTTTACATTTGATTCTCAAGACGACGACACGCATGCTGCTTATGTCCCTGATGCCAATATGGTATTTGTCGCTTGCATAGTACGTTAATGTATACTAGACTTAACGGAAGGACATACTAACCACCACTGTACGCGATACCAATATGTTATATACACGCTGTGGGAGGGACGAGCCCATAGGGTGAGTAGGTAAATGATTGTTCATCAGTCTTGATGACTTGGCACAATCGCTTGTGACTCTTATTGGTATTGTAAAACTCAGCGGGCGGGCCTTTGCGATATTCTGATATTGAATGATTATAGGATCTACAAGAAAAAAATTTAAAAAGCGCCCTTATATATGCTATTGCACGTGATAGATATTTCCCATTATAACGACAGTGATATAGTCGTATAAGCTTGATACAGAAACATGCGATTTCTTATATTGGTCGATTTAGAGCACAGCCCAACAATTTTTACTTGACATTCTTTTTCGTTGAGAATTGACCTTAAACGCGAAATCCACTTGTCTCGCACGTTTCGATCGACCCGGTGGAGCAAGAACCAATTCGAAACCCATGAAAGGAAATCGGCCCTCTCGGATTACGTATCGTAAGTCGACTTTATTTGTCGTTTCAAATACGTCGAACTCTATGCGAATCAAGTTCTACCAACATAACGTACGAATTGTGACTAGATGTGTATTCGCCGTTACGCGTATAGACCGAACAAGACCAACTTGCGAAGTTCATCCTTTGGAACGTAATACTATACTCGGATATGTATACAGCATTAACGATCAGATCTTATTGGTAAGTTTTATTTGGTTTATGTGATATCTGAGAGAAATGACCTTTGCGAGGGCAAATTGAGGGGATAACCGTTATACATATATGTTGAATCGTGTTTCGTGATGGTTTAATCGATCTTTAGATACTTTTTTAGTTGTTTGATTCTCCAGAAGATTTTAACGCACTTGATTCAATATAGAAAATCTTGTTTATATGGGTTAATTGAGAAACGGTACTTATGCACTTAGAATGGTCTATTGCATTCACTGCTATGCCGTGCCGATGCAATTCTCGCCGATCGATGAGAATAGCCGTTAATTTCATATCCCTCCATTTCTCCGTAGACGCATTAGTATTTCTATATACAATACATATATATTTTTTCTCATAAATTTATCCGATACTTTATATGCAGGGTGTCTCACCGAAAGTGCACACTTCGACTATTTCCGTGACTATTGAAGTTAGGGGAAAAAGTATCAGACAAAAGTTGTATGGTTTCAAGGGGGTCGATTTTTCATCCGAATCTTTTTTTTAATACACGTTATATGGTTTTTTTTTTTTTTTAATGGAACATCACTTTCTGTTCGTATAAGAAAATGTAGCTCGTTTTTTTCTTAACATTTTAGGCGCTTGCAGATTAAAATCCTTCCAGCCAATTTCAAATTATTGAGAAGTGAATTTATTAAATCCTAAATGCTGTAGCGGCGCTGCAATCAAAGATTTTTCAATTAATTCAGTTCTCAATAACTTGAAAATGGCTGGATGGATTTTAATTTGCAAGCTCGTTTTTAATAATAAAAAAAAACGAGCTACGTTTTCTTATACCGACAGAAATTGATGTTCCATTTTAAAAAAACCGTGTAACATGCTGTACTCGAAATTAGATGAATATAAGAAAAATATCCGGATGAAAAATCGACCCCCTTGAAGCCATACAACTTTTGTCTGAAACCTTTTCCCGTATCTTCAATAGTAACGGAAATAATTGCGCTCGCGCGCACACACGAAACTTAAATGAAAGTTCCCAATAAAATATTTGCTATCGTATAAAGACAGCGAGAACGAAAATTTGTTAAAACTCAAGTGTAGTGAAGTGAAATTTATTATATCAGTGAATTATATTTCTACCAAATATAATTGTACAGTTGATTAAACGAAATTTAGGCTGTTATTATCTCACGTCTATCGAGTAGTTACAACGAACCTCTTCTGATTGAGTTCTTGAAATACATTGCAAACAGATTAAGTAGATAACGTTTGATGCCAGAATTACAGAAGAAGTTGCTTTGCTTAGTTCGTATGTGCATTGGAAGAACTACATGTGCTGTCTCCTTAAAGCAACATTTTTTTGAACGACTATACACACAGATACAAAATGTGTAGATTTTAAATTGAT